ATTTCGGATGGGCTACGGGCCATTTCTCCATGTTTTGGACTGCAGAATTCTGGTGTCTGATGTCCTTATTCGCGATCGCGAAGTGCCAGTCGCGATCGCGTAGGCTGTTTTGTGACTGACCATTTTTCCTTCTTCGCGTTCGCAAAGAATGGTCCGCGATCGCGTGCTTATGTAGGTTGCTTCATCGCATTCGCGGTAGGTGTTATGTGATCGCGTAGTGGGCGACTATGCTGGGGAGGCCAGGTTTATTGTTCTTTGCGTTCGCACAACTTGGTTCGCGATCGCATAAGCGGAGGTCGTTGTGAGTCGCATTCGCGGCTGTGTTTGCGCATTCACGTAAGGTTACTTTTGGCAGCCTTTATTTTGTTCTTCGCGATCGCGAGGAATGTTCCGCGATCGCGATGTGTAAGATCTAGGCAGAATATAAAAGTACTCTATTTCGAGAGTTTGGCCATTTTTATCATATCTTGAGTTGTGGACCTCGAATTTAAGCGATGTTTGAGGGGTTCTTCACGTGTTGGATTGGGGTAAGTGTTCTTTATCCGGATTTGATTTTATTTTATGATTCCATCCTTGTTTTATCATTAAATTAGTGGTTTGAGTTGGGGGGAAATGAGAATTTTGTGAAAACTATCAAAAATATAAAATGATGATTTGAAGGACGAATTGATGTCGAAATTGGATAAATTTAGTATGGTTGGACTCGTATCGGAATGGGTGTTTGGATTTTGTGAATTTTATCGGGTTCTGAGGTACGGGCCCGGGGTTGACTGTTTAGTTTTCATTAAAGATCGAAGCATTATTATCCGAAATTGTTTCCTATAGTTTTTATTTATAATATTAAGTTATTTTGGCTAGATTTGAGCCGTCCGGAGGTTGTTTCACACGAGAATGTCATTTTAGAGTATCGGTCTAGCATCTTTGAGGTAAGTATCTTACCTAACTTTGTGTGGGTGAACTACTCCTTAGGATTTGAATCGTTTGTACTATTTGTATCATGTGAAAGCCGTGTACGCGAGGTGACGAGTAAGTACTCGGGCTTATATGTGGAAATTGACCGGTCTAGACTCTTAGGCATGTTTTATGTACTTATTTGGAATTGTTAGCACATGTTATATCTTTTATTCGTCATGTCTACTATCACATGCTTTATTTGAAGTTGCCGTTACATGTCACATTCTTTACTTGTCGAGTTTGCTCTTATATGCTTTATTTGGAGTTGCTATCACTTTTATCATTATGTGATTTCTTTTATTGTGGAGCTACTCTTAGTTGAAATTATTGTCACGTTATATCCCTTTGTTGCTGGGTTGTTCTCATGCATTTAGACGTGGTACTAGTTCATGCCATCTCCTTCATTGTTAGCCTAACTCATACACTAGAGTCCAAAGTTTACCATTTCATGGAAGTACTTTCACTATCGAGGTTATCCTTAAACAATTAATTGGAATTGAAGTTATCGAGAGTCATTAATTTATTCTAATTGAAGTTATATTTAAAGGGGGTATTGCTCCTTGTTGTATTACTTTTCCGTTCATTTTGTTGTTATTGAGATTCTATATACGGTGTGTTGAGCCATGGGCTATTTGTGGTAAAAATATTGATATTGTTGAATCTTTGGAAAGTTTGTGGCCTACGGGCACTTGTGATACGAGTTGATATGTTGTGTTGTTGTGATGATAGCATATGTGAATTGTTGTGTGGTTGGATTGTTGTTATGCGGAGTATAAGGGTGGCATTTCACCGTTGTTGTTATGCGGCGCATAAGGGTGGCATCTCACTGTTATTGAATGTACGGAGTGATACAGGTGGCTATTATGTTATTGTCCGGGCGGAGCGAAAGGGTGGCTATTATATGGAGTAATACGGGTGGTTATAAGATAGATAATGGTGGCTAATGATAATGTCAGGGCGGAGTGATACGGGTGGCAATATCAGGGACGATGTGTGATGGTTTGGTGACATTGTGTTGGTGATTTTCGTGTGATGGTGTGTTTTTCCTTGTGTTTGTCATACACCTAACGTGACTTGCTTTGTTGTTCGATGAGCTATTCGATGTCTTTAATATTACTTGTTGACTTGGGCAACAGTAGCATACTCGCACAAGCATACACCGTAGCATGCTAGCTTAGGAGCATGAAACTTGACATTTATTGATTATGCCCATGTGTTCTTGTATTATCTGTTCCATGTTGATATTGAGCATGTGACCATGCTGGGCGGATTGTGATTGTGAGCCCGTGACCATGCCCAGCGTATTGTGATTGTGAGCATGTGATCATGCCGGGCGGATTGTGAATGTGAGCCTGAGATCGTGCCGGACGGATTGTGATTGTGAGCCTGTGACCATGCGGGGCGGATTGTGAATGTGAGCCTGTGATCATGCCGGACGGATTGAGATTTTGGCAAGTGAGTTGTCCGTGCGGTTGCGATGCGAGATGTGGGCACGAGGTGCCGTGAGTATATGATGGTGGGTTGAGACCCGTGACTTGTGACTATGAGATGAAGCATCACAGAGTGATTTCGTTGTGAAACTTGTGTTAGTTCGGCTTGACTAATTGATTGTCCTTTGTGTTCCTTATTTGGTTTTAATGATACTTCATGGTGTTCTTATTGCTTTATTGTTTATATCACTTGTTGGTTCTTGTTGTCATTTACTGATTTCCGCTTTCCATTATTAGTTTTATACTTCTATACTGCACAAGTTAATTTGTCTAGTAAGTGTCTTGACTTGTACCTCGTCACTACTCCACCGAGGTTAGTCTTGATACTTACTGGGTACCGACCGTAGTGTACTCATACTGTACTTTTGTACATTTTTGTGCAGATCCAGGTATTTCAGAGTCTGTTGATTGTTAGATAGCGGATCAGATATTTCTGTGGAGACTTCAAGGTATACCGACCGTCGCGTTCGCAGGCCTCGGAGTCGCCTTCGGATATTATTTTTGTACAGTTTATTTCTATTCTGGAATAATTGTACTTAGAGATTTTCTAGTGAACTCAGTATAGCTTATGACTTGTACTACCGATTTTGGGGTCGTGACACCATGCCATTATTAATGGTTATTGTTATTGCTTTTCCATCTATTTTCTGGCTCTTATGATGCCGGTATTTTCTTTCTGGCTTCTGTTGCTGTTACTGATTTATTGTCTCTTTTCGTTTTCTTGAGCCGAAGGTATATCGGAAACAACCTCTTTACTCCTCCGGGGTAGGGGTAAGGTTTGTGTACATACTACCCCCAAGACCCCACTAGTGAAATTTTACTGGATTATTATTGTTGTTGTTGTACAAACAGGATATAGGAATGATAACCTCTCTTTGAGCCAGTCGTGAATGAACTATATAGATAACATGACATTGATCCACCATTTTTAGATTTTACTACGACGAATTAACAACCTAGATATAAGCAGTCATGTCTCTTTAGCATCTACCTCAAAGACCAGTTGAAGTATGTCAGCATGATAGAGCATCAATATAGGCCCATACCAAAAATGGAGGTAGAGACATAACAAACCAGTGAAACAAGGAATCATGGGCTTCAAACTATATTGCTCGGACTGGGGGTACGAGTATTCGATTCGGGTGCGAATCTAGAGGCAAGATCCTTGATAATTTAAATTTTAAAATTTGGGGTTGGATCTAGATATGGATACGGGCGCGGGGATTCGGCTAAAAATAATTCAAAATTCTAAAAATATATCTATAAAAATATCCTAAATTATGAGAAATATTATGTGAAAAGTTTATAGGTTGTGGAGTGCTGCCAATAATTCAATATTTTATTTTGGGAATTTCTCAAGTTGTACGCACTAGGCACTAGCAAAGAGCAACTAAAATTCAATCTTTCATTTTTTATTTTTCCTCATATTTGTCTATGGATTATGGTAAAAATACCCGATCTCGATTGACCACACCCAGTACGAATCCCATATCCGTACCGGTACTAGTGTCGTCTCGATACATATGCGACGACTAAAATTAAGAGTCCACACAACATAAGCTTCAAAGTCGTTTAAATTTTATTGTGAAACACAACCTTTCTTCAAGACCGGTGACTAGGAATAAATCATTGCTTGCTCCATACACAGTCAAACTTCATGTTTTTTTAATCTAACAATTGATTCCATCCAACAAGAAGTTCCTATACAATGTGCTATTATGCAAAGTATATCTCGGGGGAGGGGGCACCAGAATATCTTTTCCAATGAAAATGTAAAGCCAAAGAGTGAATTAAAATCTTTTTCATAATATTGATATTTGAATCAACTTGTGTGCACCTCAACTATTCCATCGAGTATCTGCTACCTCCAAACGGTACAAGTATTGGATGACTCTATCCACCAAGGTTTAGGCAGATGAGAATAAATTACCTTAAGGTTTTCTGTTTATGATGGATTAGAACCCTGGTCTCCAACATTTGTATCCACCTTATTGACCACTAGGCGACAACCTTTGGGTTAATTAAAAAATTTCTTTATCCAGTACGGTACGACAAAATAAAGATAACACATTATATCGATGTTTCTATTACCAAGGTGAAATTTTAAATTAAAGGATAGAGAGTAACATTCTTGAATACAACCTTGTTTGGTTTAGTTGAATGCCGAAATAGTACTGTCAGTATACTTTCGTTTGTTCATGGGAGAGTCTTCAACTATCTTCAAGAAGCGTATTTACATGCCTCTATGCCTAACAAGTTTCAAAATGGTTTTCTAAGAAATATTGCTATCAGTGTCCCAACACAACGCATCACCTTATTTAAAATGGATATACTCACCATGACATAACACATCACCAAATTTGACGTGTACATATATCTTAAAGACGCCACAGGTTATGAAAAGATATACTCCAAGAAAAATACTATCACGATCCGAAATTCTCACCCCCGGGACCGTGATGGCGCCTAACATTTCACTTGTTAGGCAGACCAATGTTAGCTATATTTATTAACCATTATTAACAATTCAAATCAAATAACAACAATAAAACTCAATAGTCTGAAATAAGGTGATAAACTAATAAACGACATAATCCAAATACAATTCCAGAAACTGGTGTCACAGATACATGAGCATCTAGAGTACTACAGATAATGGTCTGAATAAAATATAACTGTCTTAATCAAAATAAACAGCTAAGATGAAAAAGAAGGGGATTTCAGGGCTACGGACGCCGTGCAGCTATACCTCAAGTCTTCAATGATAGCTAGATCCGAGCAATCTCACTTAGCGCCGCTGGGACCAACTCCGGTATCTGCACAAGAAGTGCGGAGTGTAGTATGAGTACAACCGACCCCATGTACTTTGTAAATGCCGAGCCTAACCTCGACGAAATAGTGACGAGGCTAAGGAGGGTCACTTACAATAACATGTATGCAATAATAATAATAGGAAAGACAAAAATAAAAGTAAAGCAGTTAACTCATAAAAACGAACTCGAAATCCAACTACCAGAGAGCCCAGAATAACAAATCTCATAAACTCATCTCAAAATACCGAGGCAAATCCATTAGTCACAAACAATTATAACATATACAATCCGTTGCGGTGCGCAACCCGATCCCACCATATCATCATCTGTCAATTTCACAATTCGTCCTTATTCCTCCATTTTAATTCATTACCTTTCAATTTCCGTTGCGCCATGCAACCCGCTCCCCAAGCAATTTCAATCAACAGTAGCAATTCAACAACCAAAATTTACAAGAATTTATACATCAAGAGAGTAAATGTACGAAGCAATAAAGAATCACAAAATAATCAAAGAATCTCTAACAACTCGAATGTCTCAACATTACCAACTCATCGGTATCTATCAATTAGACAACTCATACAAGTGTAACCACGTTATAGAAAGCAACAAACACTACAAAACTATAAAGCAAGTAAGACATATGACATTTTAGATATGCAAGTAAAGCAAGTAGCAAATAAGCATGGAGTCACTCCATGGAAGGGATGGACATTTTGATACAAGAATAACTAAATGACAAGTAACAACTATGGCATAGAAGTCAATAAAGCATGTAGCATTTAAGGCGTGAAACAAGATATATTATGAAATAACGAAAACATGGAAGCAAATATCATAACGGCGTATATACACTCATCACCTCGCATATACGCCGTTTCCCACATAATTCACATAACATGTAGTTCAAGGCTTCCTAATTCCCTCAAATCAAGGTTAGGCCCAACACTTTCCTCACTCCGTAACTCAAGCAATCAATCAACCACGACCTTGCCTTTTGAACAAACCTTTGAACCAATCAAATCAAGTAAATTATTGACCAAATGACTCAAAATAAACTTTAGAAACTACCCACAGACGAAATAGGTTCAATTTTGATCATTTTTTAAAAAGTTAACAAAAGTCAACCCCGGAGCCCATTTGGTCAAAACCCAAGGTTCGGACCAAAACCCGATTACCTATTCACCTCCGAGCCCGGTTATGTGATTAGTTTCGATATCTGACCTCAATTACAGGTCTAAATCTCAATTTTACAAAACTCTCAATTCTACCCAAATTCCTAATTTCTACCTTGGAAATCCTAAATTTAATGTCGAAATCTCATTAAATGTAATGGGTAATTGAAAAGAAATGGATTAAAGTCACTTACCAATGAATTTGGGAAGAAAAGTCTCTTGGAAAATCGCCTCTAGAGTGTTTAGGGTTGAGAAATGGTGTGAAATGAGCTAAGTCTCATTTTTCTCTCTTTTACCCAATTGCAAGTGTCACAATTGCGAAGTCATGTTAGCAATTGCGAACACCGCAAATGCGAGACAAGGATCGCAAATGCGAACCCTGTCACAGAAGAGCAAAAGTCGCAAATGGGACAAAAAGATTGCAATTGCGAAGACACCACCATCGCAAATGCGGTCAAGAACTTCGCAAGTGCGAAGCAGACTCAAGAGTACACTGAGTCGCAAATGCGACCTCTGATAGTTCGCAAATCCGAACATGTTCCTCGCAAATGCAACATTACCGAGTCCAGCCCATGCTCGCAAAATGCGAACTCTTGTTCGCAAAAGCGAGGCTCGCCAGGCCTCGCAAATGCGAGATCTGCAGCAGAACACCAGCAACAGAAGTGCACCAGCTATCTTCACATTAGCAAATCTCATCCGAAACACGTCTGAAACTCACCTGAGCCCCTCGGGCACCAAACCAAACATGCACACAAGTGTAATAATATCATACGAACTTGCTCGCGCAATCAAATAACCAAAATAACATCTAAATCAACAAATCAACCCTCAAAACAAATGAAATTTCAAAGTAAACTCAAGAACAACTAGAATCATATTTAAGTGTCCGAATCATGTCAAATCAATTCCGAATTGCACCAAATTTTGCAAACAAGTTTCAAATAGCGATACAGACCTATTTCAAGTTTCAACATCAAAATCCGAACCCATTAGCTAAGAAGTCAACTTACGGTCAAACTTAGTAAATTCTCAAACTTTCAAAATGCTAGTTTTCGGCAATATGAGTCAAATCATTTTAGGGACCTCCAATTTCGATTCTGGGCATACGCTTAAGTCCAAAATCACGATACGAACCTATCAAAATCGTCAAAATATCGATCCAAGGTCGTATTCACAAAATGTGACCGTGGTCAACTCAAGTTGTTTTTAAAGCCAAAAATCATATTTTCTTCAAATTTTCTCATAAAAGCTTTTCAAATTGTGACACGGACCACACACGCAAACCAAGAAATATCAAACAAAGCTAACGGAGATCTCAAAACACGGAATTAAGGGCTAATACTCAAAATGACCTATCGGGTTATCACAAATACAAAACAAAAATTCAAAGCCAAAGACAAGGTGATAGGCAAACATACATTTTGAGCTATTTTACTTGTTTACGGAGACCTGTAATCTCGTCATGTAGGTCCCCGTGCATCGGATAAATATGCAATTGTATTTCATCTGAACCGCCTACCACCCTCGTGTTCAATCCATCTCTGATCAATTGAAAAAAATAAAAAAAAACAACTCAATTTCTCAAAAATAAACCCAAAAAATGCAAAAGAGTGTATTTATGTTAATATTCTCCTAATTAGGTTATGCTTTTGGTAATTTTTTTTGTTAAAGAACACTTCTCTATCACAATTCAAATCGTTTAAGCAATTAGACCGTAATGAATTGTAGTTTTAGAAGATGATAATTTTTTTCTTATTTTGGTATATACCTGGATATGTAGGAAGCAACACCGTAGAAATCACCGCCTCTATGAGAGCTAGAAGCCATTGAAAGAAAAACTGAAGGAACCTCGAAATCCTAGATGTAAGATGTAAGAAAAACTTGAAAGTATCAATAAAAAGGGATGGTGAATTTTAACACGTTGAATAATAGTTTTGTGCTGCCAAAGACCGTTCAGTATTTGTATTTTTTTTTTTGAAATAGAAGTAGAATTTGTGTTCGGTTTAGGAAGGTAGCTATGAGTCAGGGATAAGATGACGTCGTTGAAGTGTACATTCACTGTCCGATTACACAATCCAACAGTGGCACACCTCTAATCTAGCAGGTAATGGAGGCTGTGTAGGAGTCCGGAATCAAAATGTTGTTATTTTGGATTTAAAATACCAAAATAGGTGAAAGAACGACTGGGAATATTTTTATATATAGCGGATATAATTCATATGCTATAGCCACCCGTTAAAGTACACCGCATGAATTACATTTTGGAAAGGCGGTCAAACTCTTGATATAGCGCATATATTAGATACGCTATACTTAAATTTAAAAAGACAGTCACGTATAACGCATCTAATGCATGCCCTATACCCATTTAAAAAATGGCAAAGGGCCAAATATACCCATATACTTTCGAAAATGGTTTAAGAATACCCCTCGTTATATTATTGGGTTATCTATACCCCTACAGTCATACTTTGGGTTCAAATATACCCCTCATTTAAACGGAGGGATACATGTCATCGTCATGTTGGCCAATTCTAAATATCTCCTAATTAATTAAAAAGACACATTACCCATACCCGAAAAGCAATTTTCTAAAGCACTTTTTTTGTAAAAACTTAAAAAAAAACTGATTTTTTTTTTTACTAAAAACTGAAAAAAACAAAAATATTTTTTTTCCAGTTTTTACAAAAAAAATGCTTTAAAAAAAACTAAAAAATATTTTCTAAAACAATAATTTGTAAAAACTGAAAAAAAAAACTTAAAAGCAATTTTCTAAAGCAATATTTTTGTAAAAACTGAAAAAAACTGAATGTTTTTTTACTAAAAACTGAAAAAATCGAAAATATTTTTTCGAGTTTTTAGAAAAATATTGCTTTAAAAAAACTGAAAAATAATTTCTAAAGCAATTTTTTTTGTCAAAACAAAAAAAAATCTGAAAAGCAATTTTCTAAAGCAATATTTTTGTAAAAACTGAAAAAAGATTTTTTTTTTCCAGTTTTTAGTTAAAAAAATTTCAGTTTTTTCCAGTTTTTAATTGCTTTAGAAAATTATTTTTCAGTTTTTACAAAAATATTGTTTTAGAAAATATTTTTCAGTTTTTTTTAAAGTAGTATTTTTGTAAACACTGGAAAAACAAAATTCGTTTTTTTTAGTTTTTAGTAAAAAAAAATTTCAGTTTTTACAAAAAAAAAAAATTTACTTTTCGGGTATGGGTAATGGGTCTTTTTAATTAATTAGGAGGTATTTAGAATTGACCAAAAGGACGATGACACGTGTACCTCCATTTAAATGGGGGGTATATTTGAACCCAAAGTATGACTGTAGGGGTATAGATAACCCAATAATATAACGAAAGGTATTCTTAGACCATTTTCGAAAGTACATGGGTATATTTGGACCTTGCCCACAGAACCCCNCCCATGATTATTTTATCGATCTAACACTTGATCCAAGGCTTTGTCGTCTAGTGGAACTCGTTTATTGCCCGATTTAGTGGTCAAATATTCATTATTTCTCCATTAAAAAAAATAGAAAAAGAGCTATTCCGAATCACACTTTTAGTATAAGTCATGTATATAATTGAGTAATTAGTTGTTATTACTGTATTGTGTGCATTTGTGATTGTTTTGTTAATTTTTTTTATTTTTTATCCGGATCAGTTTATTTCTGTACAAATATTTATGAAAATTATATATTGTTCCTTTGTTGAATAATTAGTGTTATATGTTTACTATTTTTATAGCTGTACAACAATAATATGTGACTTTAGTATTATTTAGTGCCCTTTAGTGTTATGTAGTGCCTCCTAGTAGACTGATAATAAATTTTAATTTATGTAAGTTGATGTTATTTATGGCCATTTAGAGTAGTGTGCCTTTAGTACTCTTTAGTATTCTTTAGTGTAGAATAATAACTACATGTCCTCATTAATTACCCTAGTTAGAGTACTCAATTATGGATCAAATTTTAATCAATTATTAGGTGTATAATAAATGTATTATTAGATAAGAATCAAAAAGTAGATATGAATAAAAAATTAGATATGTATCATAAAATAATTAGTTGGCAGTACAAAAGAGATGCTGACGGATTTTTGTGTAAAGTAAAATAAATTGTTATGAATAAAATAAATACTTAATAGTAAAATTTTAAAAATAAGATCAAATAGTTAAACAAATTAAGTATTTAACATTATTTTAATCAGGAATAAGATTGCCAAAAAATTGACAGTACGTAAAAGAGTCTGTGCCATTTTTGTTTGTTTAAAAGTATTGAATTAAGACATAAATTGTTATGAATGCAAAAAAAAAAACTTAATAGTATTTCCCCACCATCCATATATTTGTTTTCAACTTTCTCGCACGCAGCTGTTGATACCTAATTTTTCCCTCATATTCTATTGAGTATTTCATATACTTTCAAAATATCATTTTGCATCATTACCTAATTTACAAGGGTCATATAAGTATTTTCTATAATTTTTAAAGTCTTAAAATTAATTTTTCTGCATTTAATTTGTTCAAATATTTATTAATCATCCCTTTAAATTATTTTTAGGGTGATTTAATTATTCAAATTTATCATTTTATACCCACATGCATTTTATGATATTTCATCGCATTTTTGCATAATTATATTTGCATTTTATCTATTTAAATTACACTAGTTACAATAATAGCCTATATTCTATAAATAATTGTGCTTATTATATTATTTAAGCTAAAATAAATTTTTTTATATTTTATAATGTTAATCTATTAGTTTCAAGAATTTTACTGAATAAATAATAAGTCATTTTATGTGATTTATTTTTTATGAATTTCATGTATTTAATTTGTAGCCCAATTTTGAGCCAATTTCGGACCAAAAATCAGGCCCAAACACCTAGCCCATCTCATCTTACCTCTCAGCAGCCCAAACCAAATGCCTCTTTAACTTAACCCGGTCGGGACCCACTAAACAACCCCCCTTCCCCGCTTCCACTTCGATCCTGGCCGTTGATCTTAAATGATAAACGACCCATAATAAATCCCTCATTCTCCTTATATCTTTCACCCCTAACCCTAGAGATCCATTTTCCCCGTTTAGCCGCCTCTGTGTTCTCTCTACTCCCTTCCTCTCTTCATAAACCCTAGCCGCCTAACCCCAAATTCTCCCCAAATCTGGCCACACTATGGAATCCTTTCGTGACTTGATTGCCTTATTCCGCTACTACTCACGTGTTCATGGTGTTACTTAGTATTTGCCTAACTTTGGTAAGTACTGCCTTTCAAATCGGGCCTGATTGGCTACAATTTTGTGAAGATCTGAGCGATGTTTCATCTATATACACTCTACAATGAACGATTCTTGCATTTTCGGTCCGATTCATGGCCGTTGGACTCAACTAGGGTTTGAAATTTCTTTCATTCCTTTACCGGTTCTGTTAGGGACTGCATGTTATCTTTTCTTTCCTTATTTAGGTTTAATTGATTATTTTTCTTGTTTGTTTGTCCTAATCTATCACTATATAAACCCCCTTCTCGGTTTCCCCTAAAAAACCTAATTGCTCTCTAACTATCACTCACTCTACTATTCTAATCATGCTTATAGGAACTTAAGCACTTAACTCGCTTTACATGTCTTATTCCCGCACACTATCAGAAACATGCCTATAAGACCCTATGTGTTTCACTTGTTCACATGCTTACTTCTATGCATTATTAGATAGCATGCCTATTGGAATCAAACATCATTGATTATTTGCTCAACTTGTGCAATTGCAGTGTGATTATTAGATAACATGCCTATATGATCGTGTTAAATAATTACGATATGTTTCCACTGATACTCATCTAGATATCATGTCTATAGGGCCTTAATTGATTAACTAATTGGCTATTTTGCTGTTCTTATCACATTGACCGCCTAGATAACCTGCCTATAGGAATAAGCATAACGAATCCGTGTTCAAATACCAACTATTAGAGAATCTGCCCATAGGATACTGCTACTCGCTTAAAAAGCATGTCAATAGGATAAAAAACGAGTAATTCTGAGTTTTCCAATGGCTTCACTGCCCGAGGCGCAAATCACTTAGAGATTATGTCTATAGGCTTTTTTTAGAACACTTGTAATATGTAATTTCAATAATTTGAATAGCAACACTGCCCATGAGATGTTCTTAAACCGTTGATCACTTAGAAGCCATGCATATACGTTTTAAACGACTCTAATACATCTCGATTCTAAACTGCATACTACAGAATCTGAAATCTGTTCGCGTGCCTTTGTTGCTTATGTGTGGAGGCCAACTTGAGCCATTCGTTGCTATTATGTGATGTCCTACTTATTTTTGAATGTGCGCCTAGTTTTATCATTTTGAACACCCTAAGTAAAATCTAGAACTACCCAAATAGTAGGTCCAAAGCCTCCTGCACCATAGGCATGAGACAGGTAGTACACTCGTAGGATACGGTTTAGAATTGAACTAGAGCACTTTAGGTAAACAACTTTAACATAGTAATTAGGTATCAGGAGATGATAGTCTGTGCTAGCTGAATAATACGAGCAACCCCTACCCTAAGGGAGCTGCGAGGTATTATTTATGTTGCACAGGGCGATTCTTTAGGCTAAAAAATTATGTCTGTTACTAGCATCTTTAATTCCTTGGACTTAGAGCAAATTAGGTTGTACTTTTTAATCTTCAAAAGACTTGTACTAATCATCTATTAATGTATAGTTTAATTCCTCTGTACGTGCAATCCTCTTTACACTTGTTTTATATCGTAGTCAATTATTTGAATTCCACATCTTTCGTTAACTTATGTGATCACATAGGACAATTATAATCTAATAATCCCATATAGCATTAATTTTGACTGGGACCCACAGGTGTGGACCTTGAAGAGTTCCTAGAACCTTCTCTTTGAGGTAATTTGAGTCCTTACCTGATTTTTGGTGACACAGACTAGTTAAAACAGAGTTATTTATGAATAGGTTCCCTAACGCACCTTAAAAATTATTAGGTGGCGACTCTTCTCTTTTAGTACCCATATAAAAGAGTTGTTACACGTCGAAGCCTACTTTTGCGAGAGAACGGGGCGCAATAGCATGGCGACTCTGCTGGGGGTATACTTAGGCTCTTACCATGACGAAGTTTCGC